GTCTCCTCAGTGGGGAACTGGAAGCCTCCGAACTGGGCTCTTGGGAAGTTGAGGTGTTCTCCGTGCCTCCTGGGGTCCAGGGTTCTTCTGGAAACACTGGCTGCTCTCTGGTCACCCCAGTTGTTCTCAACAGATTTTTCTCCCCGATAGGGCTGAAGAAGAATACGAGTACGCCTTTGACGACGAGCCCACCCCATCTCCCCAGGCCTATGGGGGCACCCCGAACCCCCAAACACCGGGCTACCCAGACCCCTCCTCCCCACAGGTCAACCCACAATACAACCCGCAGACACCGGGAACGCCAGCCATGTGAGTCCGCTGGGGCTAGCCCTGAGCAGCCCCTGCCCAGTCCCTGGCCAGTGCTACCTCCTTTTCCTGCCATCCCATACATGCTCCCTTCTCTCCTGGTCTCTGCAGGTACAACACAGACCAGTTCTCCCCCTACGCAGCCCCGTCCCCTCAGGGCTCCTACCAGCCCAGCCCCAGTCCCCAGAGCTACCACCAGGTGGCGCCAAGCCCAGCTGGCTACCAGAATACCCACTCCCCTGCCAGCTACCATCCCACACCATCACCCATGGCCTACCAGGTACTGGTCAGCTTGCGTGCCCTTGAGGGTGCCGGTGGGACAGTTGGGACAGCCAGGCCATGTTACCCAGTCCCAACAACTCGGTGGTTTCCCACAGGCGAGCCCCAGTCCGAGCCCTGTTGGCTACAGTCCGATGACACCTGGCGCCCCCTCCCCCGGGGGCTATAACCCGCACACACCGGGCTCAGGGATTGAGCAGAACTCCAGCGACTGGGTAACCACTGACATCCAGGTGAAGGTGCGGGACACCTACCTGGACACACAGGTGGTGGGGCAGACAGGCGTCATCCGCAGCGTCACGGTAAGTGGGGTCCAGGCCAGCACTCTCTCATTTGGCACCCCCATCTCGGCAGTTACTGGGTGTGTCTTCCCCTGCCTGACTGCCCAGTCTCACGTCTCCCAGTACCTGTTTATAACTAGAGGAGCCGATGCGGAAAGGTGGGGCACACAAGCCTCGGGCCTTCTGTTGGCTGTGCTCACGCTGGAGCCCCAGCACCCTGGGCCAGCACTTGGCCCCCAGTCACTTTTTTTTTTTTTTTAAGGTTTATTTATTTGTACAGAACTGGGGTACAGGTCAGAGATGCGGAGGGTGAGGGGATTCACCAGAGACAGAGTGGGGTACAGAACAGGCAGATTGACGAGGTACACTGCTGAGGGGAGCAGCGGGCGGGTCAGGAGAGGTCTGCCGTGCCATGTGGTCACCTCCGGGGCAGGCAGGAATCGAACTCATGCTGAAGTGGTGTAAGCTTCTCTGTGCTGTGCTTTAACCCCCTGCACCACCAGGGAGGGCCCAAGCCCCCAGTTACTTTTTGATGGACCCTGAGTGAGATCGTCTCAGGTGGGTGCTGGGCACCCACACAGGCGTTCCCTGCTCTAGCACCACTGGGCTCCTTTCTTCAAAGGCACTAAGTTCCCTCCAGCCTCGGGGCCTCTGCTCTAGCTAGAACTTTTTTCCTTCTAACTCTCGGGAACCATGCAGGCCATCCCAGATGTCTCTTGTAGGTCTGTGTAATTCTTTCTTTTTAAAGAATTATTTATTTTTGTGCACACAGGAATTGGGTTGTAGACAGAGGTGCGGGGAAGTGAGAGGGCTCACTGGAAACAGTGGGGAGCAATGGGCAAGACAGGAGAGGTCTGCTGCACCCTGTGGGTCACCCCCCTGGCCAGGATCAAACTTGTGTTGCAGTGGTTGTGGATCGCTTCGTAGTGCCAAGACTTAAACCCTGCACCACTAGGGAGGCCTTCCATTTAATTCTTTTTCTTGTCATCTGTCTGCTGCTTCAGAAACATCACAAATATAGCTTACTTAAGGGCGTGCTGCTGACTAATAAGCCTGCGTTTTATTCTAAAGTACCCCCGGCTCCTGGAGGAAAAACCAGCACCTTGTTGGCTTTCTAGTAAATTCCAATTAACACCAAAGGCCAAAAGTTTCCAGGCCCCGCCCTCACAGATTCACACCCCAGTGGGGCGACTTCTCCCCACAGTGATAGTCTGAGGGACCAGAGTTGGAATCAGGAAAGCCAAACAGCAGCGGAGTTGTGTGAACTCAGATGAGGCACCCCTGGATTGGGGAGGGCTTCCTGGAACAGGTAACATTTGGGTAGACACCTGAAGAATAGGAGTACGTCAAGAGTAGCTCTTGGGGGGGCCTACCCTGGTGGCGCAGCAGGTTAAAGAGCAGCACTGCGAAGCTAGCCACAGCCACTTCAGTACAAGTTCAGTCCCCAGTCCTGGAAGTGATCCACAGGGTGCCACAGACCTCTGGTCTTACCTGCTGCTCCCCTCAGCAGTGTACTCCTCAGTCTACCTGTTCTGCTCCCCACTCTGGTGAATCTTTTCACCACTCCTGCACCTCTGGCCTGAACTCCAGTTCTGTGTGCATAAATAAATAAATCTTTAAAAAAGTTCTGGGGGAAGGGTTAAATGAGGGTTGGAGGCATGGAGGAAGGAGAAGTATTTCCTTTGTAGCTGAACCTTGCAGAGCCAGGGTGAACGATGATGCCAGAGTATGGCTGGGCCGCATCTGGCGCCAACCTGGGAAATGTGGAGTGTGTCCTGAGAGGACATGGGGGGGACTTAAGTGGGTGATTGGTGGGTCAGATCTGCTGTTTGGAATCACTTCACTGTGTATCAGGAGTGGTGAGACTGAGCTGGGAGCAGGGGAAGGGCAATGGGCCTCGGGAAAGAGGGAGGAGGGCGGGAGAGCTTGAAGTTGTCAGTGAGTGACCAAAGAGGAGGACAAGCTCTGACTGAGGACTGTGGGGCTGCCATTAGATGGAACCCCAGGAGGACGAGGAAGAGTAGGAAAGAAGTGGAGGTCAGTTTGGGGCAAGAAGAGTCAAAGTTTGGGGAAGCAGGCCGTCTGCCTTTAGCCAAGTTAGTTTCCCCTGCTGATGTAGTTACTCCCCTCCCCCCTGCCCTCCAAACATACTCCAGACCGCAGGACCCAGACCAGGCCCAGCCTTGGCTTTCCTGACCCCGTTACCTTGGGACAGTAGAAAGAGCCCTGGGCTGGTGTCCCTGGGGGGTGGGCCTCGGCGCTGAACGGGGAGCGGGCCAGGCTGAGCAGCTGTCCTCACCTGGCCCCCAGGGAGGCATGTGCTCCGTGTATCTGAAGGACAGTGAGAAGGTGGTCAGCATCTCCAGTGAGCACCTGGAGCCCATCACCCCCACCAAGAACAATAAGGTAAGGAAGGGCTGGGCTTTGCGGGGGCCCCAGGCTGCTGGCACGGGCTCTGACCCTGTGCTCCCCCCAGGTCAAGGTAATCTTGGGGGAAGATCGGGAAGCCACTGGTGTTCTGCTGAGTATCGATGGCGAGGACGGCATCGTCCGCATGGACCTCGATGAGCAGCTCAAGATCCTCAACCTCCGGTTCCTGGGGAAGCTTCTGGAGGCATGAGGCGGAAGCAGTGGATTGGTCAGATACTTGGCAGAGGGGGTGCCCGCCTCTCCCGGGCCCTTGGTTCTGACACTGCCTGGGACAGGGCCAGCCAGATGGTTCAGGGTTTCTTTTCTGGGTTCTTTTCTCTCCCCACTGTTCATGGGAATCAGAGTAGAGTCTGGGGGAGGGGCCCCACATTGTCATACACCCTTCCCCGGCTTGCTATTGTGCTAAGGTCTTTCAATAAAAAGCTGTTTGGTCAAAAGCTGTGTGTGTGCACTTGCATGTACCTGCATTCTTGTGAGGTCATCTGCAGATGCCGCTTCCTTGGTGTGACAGCTAAGGCAAATTCTCAGGGCGCTGCCTAAGCTTTTCTGACATGGCCTGCTCCAGGGGGCTCTCGGGAGAAAGGTTTGAGAGGGTGTCTGAGACGGTGACAGCCTGACACGGATCCAGGAGGTGACATCTTGCTCGTGCCCGAGTTGGGTTAAGGGAGCCTAAGTCCTGCGCACAGTGTAGGCCACACGCTTGATGGGCCTTTGTCCAGAGCCGGGAGCACGGACCCCGCAAGGCCGTAGCTCATGCGATGGCTTGGGAGCGGGACTGGGGGGAGCAGTGTAGAGAAAATGGGGCTTAGTACCCTGAGCCTCCTTCACCTTCCTCGGTGAATGCCCCTTTAAAAGATGTGTCGTAAAATACATCAGATGGTCAAATAGATGTGGCGGGAGCAGCCACATGGCCACCACCCAGCTTGGGAAACCCCCAGCTGGGACCCGCTGCGGCAGCCCCCCCAGCCACTCCCCAGCGGAGTGCCTACAGCCCCGCCTTCTGCATTGCCTTCCTCACTCGACTCGTCGTACTCCTTAATGTTGACCCCTAAGCGCTATATGGTTGTTTCACACACGTTTTTGAAGCGACACAAACGGTATCCGACTTGCGTTCACTCTAGAACGGCTCCGGTAGCCTCCAGTTGACTACTTCCGCCACACGGGGCCGCTGCTGCTTTGGCCGGGCCCAGGGAAGGGTCGGGTTTCCCCGCTGGGCCGAGCGCCTCTGGGAAGGGCGCGAGGGCAGCTCCGGCCTCCCCCCGCGGGGCCAGCTGCCGGGCAGTGGCTTCGAAAGGAGCCACTGGCCAGCCCTACGTCTGAGCAGC